GTTGAGGCGAAGAACATGAGTCTTGACGGCTGGTCGGCGGGGTAGGGCGGCAACGCGGATGGACGGGTCATGCGATGGCACGACCAGGCCAGGCAGAGCAAGGCAAGGCAAGGTAGGGTAAGGTAGTGTAAGCATCATCTCGAGGCGCGCCTATTTGCTTGTTCTGGGCCCGGGGCTGTGCAGCGGCTGTTGGGCGTGTCGAAACCAGTCGAAGGGTGGCCGACAGTCGGGTCTGGCGCGTTGCAGCGCGTTGCAGCGCGGCAAGGGAGATGAAGAGAGATGAAGCTGTCGCGAGGGTCGGATTGGGGGAGAGTGGCCGCCTGGGGTGGTGGGGAGGTTGCTGTGCTCCGGGGCTCACCAGGGGGGAAGCTGCCCACCGGGAAGCTGCCCACCACTGCCTGTGCCTGGTACCTGCTTCACGGGAGCAGGGGCTGCTTCGGGCAGGCAGGTACAAGGGGCACGGGCAGTCAACAGCGACCAGTAAATGGCGAGGACGTGCAGGTGCTGTGGCTCGCTTGGTCCCGACTGGCGTCGCCGCGGCAGGAAGCACTGGCTGCCCTGTGTCGACAAGTAGCGCCCGTCCAAGCTGTTGCAGGCCCCTGTTCCGGATCGGTGCACGGGATCCAGCAGAGGTATCTCCGCACCCGCAGACCGTGGCAAGGTACACGTCTCCCATCTCATGTGGCCCCCTGCTACTTTGGGCGGTTAGCGCAGGTGCCATTTTAGGACTGGCAAGACTCCAGGGCCGACCCCACCGTCTGTGCCAGATCCTTGCGTCCATCAACGCCACACGCGAGACGATTCAACTTCACGTCCACATCGTCCTTGGTACGGCACCAGCGTTCTATTCCTGATGAGCACAGCGTCGAGTCGGCATGCAGTGTCCTAGCACTTGTCGTGGGTGCTCGGTCTGCCGTACACTGCAAACATCCTTGGCGTACCGAAATATCCATTTGCCTACGCCGGGCTTCGCTTCGGCTGAACAGACCTCGACATGGTTCCATGACTGGTTCTCGAGAGCCCACCCAGAAACCTGGTCCATCGTCCCAAGTCGGCCTTCTCGATCATTTCCACTGGTTCTCGTTGTCGGCGCCGATCAATCTCTTCAATCTAGACCGTGCCTCCTGGCTGCTGCTTGTTTCCGCTCCCGCTCCCATCCCTCCCTTCTTCCTTGATGGCCATGGATCTTGGGTCGAACAGGGTGGCCTACCCGACCTGCGCTTGGTAGGAGATGGCCGCCTCGAGGTGCGAGAGACGTGGAGAGGAGGTGGTGATTCTGGGCGTTTCGTTTCTCCGTCTTGCGTCGTCTCGTCTCTATGCTCCTCGACATCCCGTGGCCAGTCACCCCCTTGCCTTGGGCGACATGACGTGAACTCGACTCCATGGCCCATCCATGGCCCATCCGAAAGGCCATGAATGTAGCCGTTCTGTAGCCCATCCGATGCAGCTAATAAGACCTACATGGCCCGATGCCAACTTGGTCCATCTGCCTGCTTCCCTTTCGTCCTCATCTGCAGACTCCAGCTTTGTGCTACATTCCTTTCTATACCAGGGTTTCTGCTGGTCAGGCCTCTTTCCTTTGGCCTTCCAAGCATTGTCTGGGACTGGTTCTCCTCGAGAAAAGCTGCTCAGATTCTTTGGCATCTCAACGACTGCGCGAAAAGTCCGCTCCTTCCCCCTGGACCAACGTTATTTGCCTCGACAACGGTGAATGCCTAGTCTGCCGTGATTCCGACGCGCACCCTCGCCCTCTCTCAGCTCTGAATCACCACTCGACCGGTTCATTGCCGCCTGCGGCCGCCCACAAGTTTTATTTTCCCCATATCGTCGCGGGCAACCACCAAAACTAAACAATCTTCAACCCTTTCTCACCCATCCACGCCACCACCACAACTACCAAGACGACCGCACACACACACGCACGCCTACTCTATATCGCCATCCCATCATAACCATCAAACGCCACGGAAGACGATACGGAATACAGCACGAAAGCTGTCCGTAAAAGGTTTGTTCTTTGTCCTTCTTGTCTTGCAACTTGCTGTGAATTTTGTTCGCTTTGGCTCGGCGCGCATTCCTTGTTTCAACAGTCAGACCGTCTCTGCATCAGAGCCAGTCATTCAAGGCCACTGTTCTCACAATATCCTGTTTTTATTCATGCCTTTCTCACCCTCAACTCACAACTCTGTTCTGCTTGGTTGTGCTGGTGCCATCGGGTTGGACGCACTTGAAGTCCCTGCTCCTTCCTTGACTGGTCGAGTGATCGGGGGAGGCATCTCAACACTGGACAATCATGCTGTCTGCACATCTTGATCTTAAAGCAGCCTCAGTTTTCCAGGACACTGTCACTTCTTCACTCCCTGCATTTCCCTACTTATATCGCCGTTCTCATCTCGCTTGCTGTTGACCAGCCGAACAAGCAAAACAATTTCAACAAGAATCATACGCTAACAATTTTATCTCATCAGACAACAAGTACAGCACTTCAAGACACACTTGAATCGCTGCCATGGTCGCCATCAAAGCTCTTGGAAAGACTGGCGCTCTGCTGGCTGCCATCCTTTTCGGACCCCAGCTTGCCAATTCTCACTCCTGGGTTGAGCGTCTCAACCGCATCGCCTCTAATGGCACCATGGTCGAGCCCGCCGGCTTTGCCGCCGGCTTTTCTGGCCGTGGCGCTGGATTCTCAGATATCGCTGTCACCAACGAGGTCTCCGGAGCTGGCCTACCTCTTTGCAAGCAGCCTGTCACTGCCCCTCAGGATCCCAACTTCCCCGTCCTGACCGCTGCTCCTGGCGATCAGATTGCCATTCGCTACCTTGAGAATGGCCACGTCACCAACCTCGAACCCGGTCGACTTGACCATGGCGGTGTCGTTTACATCTACGGAACGACCGACCCGCGTCCTGATGATACCCTGGCCGACATTCACCTCAAGTGGACCCCTGACGGCAAGGGCGGTGACGGGCGCGGAAAGCTTCTCGCAACTCGCAAGTATGACGATGGTCGCTGTTACGAGGCCAACGGCTTCGATCGCTCTGATAGGCGCCAGGACGAGTTCCCTGTCCAAACCAATGAGCTCACTGGTCCCAACAACTGGTGCCAGAGCGATGTCAGTCTCGCCAAGGATCTCCCCCAGGGTACTCAGTACACCCTCTACTGGGTTTGGAACTGGCCCGGCCTCGACACCGAGGAGAAAGAGGTCGTCGTTAGCGATATCCACGCCGTCTACCCCAAGGGAGGAGCTCCTGCCGGCCGCAAGGATCTGGAAGGTGATCATGTCAAAGTCGCCCAGATTTACAGCTCGTGTGCCATAATCAACATTGAAGGCGAGACAATCTTCCAGCAGGCTGGATACGACAGTAACAGTTCTGCCCCTTTTGCAAGCAGTGGTCTCGGCCAGGGCGTCCGTGTCAAGGATGATGACTTCATCACCAACCCCACCGACTACAACGGCATCGCTATTGCTGACCAGCTGGAGAACCCCTTCATTGTCGCCATTGACGGCATTGGTGGTGGCCCCGAGCAGGGTGTCCCTACTGCTTCACCCAGCGCTGGCACTGACATCCCGACCACCACGCCTGTCGGCGGCATTCGTACTGTCACCGTCACCGCGGAGCCGACCACAGTCTATGCCACTGCCACTGTCACGGCTGGTGCTGGCAACGCTGGCGGTCCCCCAACTGTCACGCCCTTCATGCCGCGTCGCAACCTCCGTGGCCGAGCCTCGTGGGAGTTTGGCGCCAACAACTAAGGGCCAACATCTCATTTGCTTGTCTTGGCTTGTCAACTCGTTCTCGTGCAAAATACCAAGGGTCTCCTTTGACAGGCGTTATAAGGTTTCATTTCTCCAAGGAAAAGGATGCGGGCATTCAGTGCGATGAACCAAGCATGGCAGTCATGATGCAATAGAGGGGAGGGGGGTACAACAGCATTTCGATCCGGCATGATCGACAGGGTATGACCCAAGACAGAAAGGTCAAGGCGTTCGGGGCCGGTGAGCCCCCGGTTTCTTTTAGAGGAGAGATACCCCCACGTTCGCTTGTCTTTCGGTCCATTTCCTCCGAGATACGACGAAGGTTTGCCTTTTTTTTGTTTGCCTTTCTTTTGTTTTTGACGATTTCTTCTTTGTTCGCATGGCGTCAGCCCGAGGTTGGTCAATGGCTTGGTGGCAGGATTGGCTTTGCCTGTCTTTGGTCAAGAGCTCTCTCTTTTGGCAGATGGTCTCGACGGAAGGAAAGTGCAGGCCCTTTTTGGTTCTGGCCTTGGATCGGAAGAGGGCACGACAAGGTGTGTTTTGCGTCTTGCGTTTGCGTCCCCGGTAGAAGGGATTTGAGTCGGCATCGACGAAGGCTGGTTCCAATGCAAGGCGGATTTGGGACAGAAAAGTTGTGCAGTTCGTAGATGGTTGAATGACGAACATAAACCACTTGATGCTCTCCGCGTGATACTTCTGGTGATGTATTGATATTTGGGGGCAATGTGTTGGCTCTTCGCCATCAACAATGCCAGTCTCTCCCTTCACTTGTTGCTGGCATTCATTGCATCAATCTGCTGGTTTGTCTGTGAACTTATGCATGAGGTGTCACGTGAAGGTGTCGTGCTTTATTTGATTCATGTGGTTGGCTTTGGTTGAGGGAAGTGGATGAATGAACAAGCGGAGACCATGTTTGATTCACGAGACAAGCAGTTCTTTGCGGAACGAGGCCCAGCTGCATAGGCGCCCTTGCCACTCCTTGTTGGGCGTTAGTTGCAATCACATCACCCCCGTCCACGGAGTCACCGTCGTGACCGTTCTAGTTGGGGTATCTAGTCACAAGACTACTCTGGGTCACGATGACAGCATTCAGCAACACGTTGTCCTACTTGGCGCGTCAGATATACCTTCCCTTGCCAAAACGAACAGCTAGCCCTAAATAACCTTCTCACGCCGTGTCATGAGAATTCTCCCGCACCTACTACGTAATTTGGCTCGGGCGATCCCACACACGCGACCCGGTCTACATCTCACCGCACTGCGCGATAACGACATCCATATTCGGCACGTCCTTCCCGCGGTACCCCGTCTTCGTAGCCTCCATTTTCTTGACAACGTCCATGCCGTCGACGACCTTGCCAAAGACGGTGTGCTTGCCGTCGAGGAACGGCGTCGGCACCGTCGTGATGAAGAACTGGCTGCCGTTGGTGTCCTTGCCGGCGTTGGCCATGCTCAGCAGGCCGGGCACGTCGTGCTTGATGGCGAAGTTCTCGTCGGCGAAGGACGAGGTGCCGTAGATGCAGGTCGAGCCCGTGCCGTCGCCGTTGAGAAAGTCGCCGCCCTGGCACATGAAGCCCGGGATGATGCGGTGGAACTTGGAGCCCTTGTAGCCCTGCGGTCGGTTGTGGAGGCGGTGCTCGCCCGTGCAGAACTGGCGGAAGTTCTCGGCCGTCTTGGGCGTCGTGTCGGCGAAGAGCTCGAACGTGACGCGGCCGAGGGGCTCGCCTGGACCGAGGGGTTGTACATGTCAGCTTTGGGGGGGTGGAGTCTGGGGAAGGCAGTTGCAGACGCATGACGGGAGGGAGAGCAGGGGGAGGGGGGACCGGAAAGGCCGGAGGCGAGCGGTGAGGGCCGGGGAACGGTATCGTCGGATGCCCGGCCGATGGAGATAAGACTACGGACACCCATCGCATCTTGGAGCCGAGGAAGAGGAAGACGTACCGCCAAGGGTGATATCAAAGAAGACCCTATCGGCGCAGTGGGTGTTAGCTCGGAGCTCTGACAAGTCAGCAGATGCTGCGGATGCTTGTCGCTTGGATCGTGGTGTGGGAGCTCCGCCACCACAGAGGCTCGGCAGGAGGGGAAAGCGGGGTGGTTCTGCTGGGGGAAAGGGGACCAGGGAGGGGGGGATGTCGTGATAGCTTCTTACAGAGGATTTCCAGAGGCGGGGAGCTGAGTTGGCGGCATTGTGGTGGATGTGGATGATGTGGAGTTGCGCGGTTGGTGACGTGTCCTGGCTGACTGGAGGAGTCGCGATGAGATTTATGACCAGAACTGAGGTGGAACAGTCAGACGTGCGAGATTGGGTATCATGTGTGAGTGTGGAAGGGGACGACTTGAAGTCTTCCGTGACCCATATCTCAATTGAGGTCTTCCCAAATACAAGTTCTGCGGGGCAGTGACTTGTTGGCCCGTGCACGCACGACATCTTCTGCGCATCTGATGGGTGGCTTCATGTTTATCAGCTCTACCTTGGCTGTCGATCACTAGACCCAGAGACACGATGAGCCGGCTGGGAAGGATGAGATGCTGGAATCAATCAGCTGTCGGTAGTGTCCTCGCCTTTCAACGAATTGGCCTGCAGGCATGGCATATGCCTCAACACCACGGTACGCTTGCACCGACATGGGGCTGATGCGGAATACTTCTTTTACCCCAAATTCTTTCCCAGTGCAAAAGTGCCTTGATAGAAACCATTTCATCATGACTGCCTGGGAGAAGGACAGCAGCAAGTGCTGTTCCATGCTTGGTGAGAGTGCGTTGGTCTGTACAGGCCTCTCGGGTGGACCTTGTAGCTTTCAAGATTGCTGCTCGGATGAGCTCAAGAGCAAGCCCGGATTCGCTGTAAAATCACACTTTCTCGAAGTTGAGGCTGTGTAATAATATACCGCTGGGGAGTACGGCTGATCTAACCTCCAAAGTCTCCCATACGCGCCCCTTTTCGCTGGAAGTGAAAGGGAGTCCTGGTGTCTCTCGGGCTTCGTTACCATGGACAACTCGCAAATTAGATTAAATTAGCCCGACTGCAAACAGGCTCAAGAGCTTGCTGTGCAGGAGGGGCTGCTGTCCATAATGCATGATGTCCCTGTAGTTATCGGTCAATAGGTGACGTGCTAGTTGCCCATACCGAGCTACATCCTGCGCCTTGACGAGCCATGATGATACCGCATGGAAGGCTGTGATGCCCCGCCAATGTACAGTGTTACGCCGGGCCTGATAGTTGAATCTCACGCGCACCCGGACCTTACTTATTATTCTCAAGAAACGAGTTACAGGTGTGTTTGTTCTATGAGATCATAGGAACAGTGGACATATCTCTGGAATTTTGGGTTGGTTACTGATCGCTGATCATCTCCAGATATTAAGTCCGACATATGAATCTCTCGGCCAGGGTCCAACTCCCCGAGACAAGTCTGCCGTATCGCGGGGTCGCTATCACGTCAGTCGATAGGCCGGCAGTGGGACGCAGATTTGCATTTGCATGCTGCGGACGGATCGCCACTTCACGCCGCATACTCGCCCAACCAGGCTTGCCACCTCACTGTATCCAGAACCCAGCACCCATCCTCGCGCCGGCTAGTCGATGCTGCAGGCTTGATCAGTTATCAACAGCAAAGCCATTCCAAATAGTGAAGTCACGCATTCGCAGGAGGAAGATCAGGACTCCGAATTTGACATCATGAGGGTGAGCTCAAAGGACCTGACTCGCCGCACAGGAACCACCAGGCGGGAAGAGAGCTTGGATCTAGGCCGAGGGAGGTTATTGGCGGACGTGCAGCCACCAATACGTACAGCATCAACTGGTTATGTCCTGATGCTCGAGATCACATGTTGGGTGGTGTACACCACGATGTAACGGCGTCCCGGATGGTGCGGTGCGGTGCGGAATTGATGGTGTGCCGAGATCGGTGGTGGAGTGGAGTGGAAGGGTGGGAGAGTGATGCCGTCAGACGTTTGCCGATGGAGCCGTAGTCTTCGGTGAAGGATCGGCCTGTGCAAGCGCATCATGGCTTTTAGCTCGTGTCATGAATCGTCCGTTCAGACACCATGATTATCTCTGCGGATGTGAGCGCTGTCAGTGCGGAACCAGCCTGGTGATGCGGTGGTCTTAGTGCATCGGCAGCAACCGGCAAGCGACGCCCTACAGACGAAGATGGGAGCTCGAAGGTGTTATTGCCGGAGCGATCTTGACATCCACGCATGCTCTGACCCGGGAGGACCGGGGAGCGGCGCTCAGGACGGAGGGGCGGATGTCGCATTAATGACGAGGGTCTAAATGTGGAGGATCGCCACGAGAAGGGGCTCGTTCATGCTGTTGTTTGATTGTAGGTGCAGTGTCTCTTCAAGCCTCTTTGACATTGTGATACTCTGGCTTGCATGAGGTTCCTCGAGCTCCTGGCCAAAGACCAAATGGTGTCTCTCGAGTGAGGCCGGTTCTTGGACAGCAGAGCCCCAGAAAAAAAAGAGCTTGTCGAGGCTTGGCTTGAGGTCATCTGTGAGATGCTGATGCAACAACTCGCGAGCACAGCACAACGATGGGCGCTGAGTGGTCCAAAGCAGGACCTGTGGCATTGGCCAGCCACGATGCTGACGAGTCCACGCGGATCTCCGGGGAAAGATGCACCCACTGCACCGCAGCACCGTTGGAATGTCTAGCGCTTCACACTGTTGTTCGTCTGGGAAGAAGGAGGGCCCTTGTTGTCCCATCCGTTCCCTTCCAGAGCTCCCCCCTCACCCCCAGATCCTGATTCACACATCCTTGCGGAATCGTCGGCTTCAACTGTATCCATCATTTAGTCTTTTCATACTCGCAGTCGGAATGAGGCTGAGCCGGTCAAATGCCAGAACCGGACGATATGACTTTGACACGCAGGTCCAAGGCCAACCAAACCGGTCCCTGAGGAAGTAACGGCTGCTAAGGACACCGAGGGCCGCGCATCAAGGTTACCTAGCTTGCCTAGCTACCTAGCTAGCATTGGGGCCGTAAGGCCACTGCTGACCTCGCCCATGGAGAAAATGTCGTCTGCCAATCACCAAGACACAGCTAGCGGCGACCGCAACAGGAAATACCAGAAAATTGTAGCACGGCGCCATGTATTGGCTGAGCCTCGCCTTTGTTTGTCGCACTGAAACAGCTGCAGCTGCAGCAGCCGACCCATGGAACGACCTGGTGTGGCGGCACGTTGGCTCCCAGCTGAGGGCCAGACTTGGTTGCGAACGGTACAGCTACGAGCGAGCCCTACAAGCCGACCATCTTTAATCAACACCATGTGCGCAGGAAAGCCTCAGCCCGGCGGTGACGGCTGAGGCAGGCTTTTGACTTTCTCCAACTCGTGCCCAACGATAGAACGGAAGTAAGAAACGCTCTGTGCCGCTCCCAGTAAGAAAGAGAGTTTACCCGGCCACGCCTGCGTCAATTGCGGGATCCAGGGATCTCCAGCCGAGGCGCCTAGGGGCCTCGACGCCTAAGCATTCCAGCGTACGAGCCCTTGTGCCACATAGGAAGCTGAAGCCGCTTGAACACCACTCGCGAGCCGCAGGTCTGGACCCGAGCCAGAATACGGGGATGGCGCGTAGAAAAGGGTCGATGTGGAGGTGGATGTGAGGGGTTTCGATGCGACTGCGTCTGTGCCGCTTGCCTGTTCGGTGCGTGTCGGGACGAGGGGACTGGGGGAGGCCATATTAGCAACAGCTTCGGGCCGTCCTGAATGAGGGGGATACATGGTACATATTCCGGCCTGTCCGACCTTCTGTTCCTGCTTTGGCTTGAGGGCGCCAACTCGATCTCTTCTTCGACGGCATTCTGCAGGGTCGCACCGACGACTCGTGTGGGCGATCTGAATCGCGCCGCCGCCAGCATGTGCCATACCTCCATTGGAAAGCAGCAACGCCGTAATTGTGGATGCATCGCAAAGACCGATATTCTCTGTTTTCAACCGCGACGTCAGAGCTTAGAATCGGACTAGTGACAACAACAGTTCCTTTAGTCTTTTGGCTCGCAAGGCGAGTTGTGTCACGCCAACGCTGGTCCGGTCTTCAGAAGTCAGTGCTCTGACCTGGGACCGTCAGCGCCTAAAAGGGGCCCGACCCTGCGCCATGGGGACCTGTGCCGTACTATGATGCATGAAAAGATGCTACAAAATGTCGACAGGTGCTAGACATTCGTCAGTATTACGGAAGCCCCGACAGGTTGGCACGTAATAAGCGATGAATGAGGAAAAGTTGAGCCATTGAATTTCTGACAGTACGAAGGTTAGAGAGCTGGGTCTCCGTGTGGATTGCTCATAGCCCCTGGATTGACCTGGCCGTGTCTCAAAACAGGGGCAGAGAGACACGACCCGGCCCCTCTCGCCTTGATTGCTCGTTACGGCGGTGCACTGAAGGGTCAATCATCAACAAAGACAAGAAAGGAGGACCTGATCGCTAAATCTCGCTTCATGGCAGATCTCCAGCTGGTCAGGACAGGCGAAGTGATTTGTTGGGGCGACAACAAGATGCTAGGTGGAAGGCCAGGCACATGTGAGCATGTAGGTACATAATGTACATTATGTGGTGTAGACGAGGGCGCGGCTAGACCGTTGGTTCCAGCAACTCAAATCAATTGCACACCACTTCATCGCAAAACCCAAGCCGCCAGTTGCTCATAGCCTCGCCAGTCACCCGCTGCTGGCTGCCAAGTACCTCGCCTATCAAGACAGCTACGCTGCTACAGGTGCTCCTGCCACTGCCACTGGTAATGCTGCGCAAAAGACAGGGCAGCTTTTAAAGCCCGCCAAGGAACAGGGTGCCACACCCCCCAAGCCCGCCCAGAAGAAGCTAGTCTGTCTGAGAAATCCCAGCAGCACAGTGCCCAAGCAACTCGGCAGGACCCCCCGGACCAGGGAAAGAGCGAGTCGCCATTCTCACGTCTCACGTAGGCGTGCCCGGGCTGGTCTTCCCCCGACTTTCCCTCTTTATCCGTTGCTCGCCCACACTCGCCACGCCCTGCATCGCCTTCCACTCCTTCGTGACCTTCCCACTACATCCAGCCAGTCCGCCCCGGACGTTGAAACAAGCGCCCTCTCCACCGGCTATACCCATTTCCACACCACATTGCCGTTGCCGGTCTCGCCAACCCCCCCTCCCTTCATTTTTCCCTCATTCATCGTCCCAATACCATCAATCGAACGAGGCACGTAGCGACAACAAGCCGATTATCCCTTCACCCGATATACTGTAGCGGAGGAGGACTGAGGCTACGTGGTGGAGCGCAGGATTGAAGCCCTCTACCCTTCAACAGCAACGACAGCTAAGGTTTCTGGACGTGCGAATGCTGGGACGCCTTCCACGGGCTCCGACAGCCATTTCCGCCTGAAACCTCCCGCCCGTCGATGACGAGGACGCCCTCTGGCCGATCCCCTTAGACCCCCTCGTTGAATCAGAATGGCTGCCGTTGCCAACGACATACTCGGCCTCGTTGCCCGCCAGGCTGCCACTTCTGCCTCGTCTGCCATTAACGAGGTGATATCTACAGCGACCTCAGCCTCGTCGACATCATCACCGACGCCCGACCGAACCTCGCAGGGCCCAGCTGGCCCTTCGCAGTCTGAAGGGAACGGAGGCGGCAGTGGAGGTGGCGGCGCCAGCTCCCCACTGCTGTTCTTCGTGGCGCTGGGCTTTGGCGTTGTGTTCACCAACCTCTGGTCAGTTTAAGCCTTGTGATCTGCTCTTCAAGCGTGAACTCTACGTCGCGCCGCAGTTATGCATGTTTCCCTCGAGAAACAACTATTGACGCGGTAGTGCTCAGGATCATTGTTGGTGTGAAATATTGTTTCCGGTACAACGCTCGCAATCGACAGATGCGCCTGAACGAAGACGGCGAGCCCATTACCCTCGAAAACATGCCTCGCCCGCACCGCCGCCGTCGCGAGAAGAAATTGATGACGATGGAGGAGGTGAACGAGAAGTTCCCCATGATGAAATACAAGAGCTGGGTACTCGAGCGCGCTAAGGAAGGCTTGCCCACCGCAGGAGGCGTGTCGGCTCCTCCAAGTCGTGCGGGAAGTGTTCGATCTGTTGAGGGTATTGTTCCCGTTGTCGCTCCTGAGGAGCCTTCAAGGGACCGCAACCCGGCTGATGTTCAGCCTGCTACCAATGCTGCAGCGGTCACGAACGCTCCCGATGAAAAGAAGGCTACCGTCACGAACGATGTAGATGGGAACGCCGGTCAGACTTCTGGCACCACTGCTCAACCAGCCGCTGCACCCCCACTGCAACGAGTTCACAGCGAGGACGACGACGATGACGACGAGCATATCAATGCTGCTGTGCCACCTGAACTGCTTGCCTCGAGCGGTGATACGTGCGCCATTTGCATTGACAGCCTAGAAGATGACGATGATGTCCGAGGCCTGACGTGTGGTCATGCATTCCATGCCGTCTGCGTTGATCCCTGGTTGACAAGTCGACGTGCATGCTGTCCTCTGTGCAAGGCCGACTACTACACGCCAAAGCCGCGCCCTCCGCCTGGTGAGGCTGATCCCAACAACGCCAATGCCAACGCACGTATGAACATGCCCAACGCACCCCCAGCTGCGTGGTATAACCTGCGTGGATCTCGTCTGGGAGGTTTCGGCGGCCGCATCGGAGGGTTCATGCCCAATGATTCGCGAAGCCGCAATGCCCGCGGCAATCGCAACCGTCGCCAAACGGGCCAGGAGGCTACAGCTGCGCCGATTGCGGAAGTTGCTACCGCCACTCAGCCTCCCGTCACCGCTGAGGTGACTCGACCAGCTGCGGCTCCCGCCGCCTCAGGTGCGCGGCAGGGGTTCTCCAACTTGAGGTTCTGGAGGAGAAACAGAAACGGTGACAGCAATAATGCTGCGCCGAGCCAAGCTGAAGAGGTGACAGCTTCCGGCGAGGCTGTGACCCCGTCGCAGCTGGAGGCTGGTACACGTGCAGCGCCTGTGCCGAACACTGAAGTGGTGCGGTGAGCAGTGTTACAGGCCTTGCACGAGAACCGGCATACCAGTATAACTGCTCATCTTGAACCATTTCTGTACATTTACCATCTCTCACACAACCGTGGCCTCGCTGGTCTCGGCATGTTCTCTCACTTTCGACTACAGAATCGGAAGCTCATTATGACACATCTTTGATGCTGCATATTCGAAATACCCCACGACACCCCAAACCTATATATCGCGTCTCCGGAGTTTGTTTACTTTGATTTTGCATCAGGGGATCTCAAGGAGGACTAGGAGGAGAGATTCATACTGCTACAAGGCAGTTTGGGCACAGCATGAACGCGGGGGAGGATGGAAACGAGTTGGATTGTCCAATTTTCTCTGGGTCTCAGGGGAAAAGCGGCGGAGTTGCGGCGACATATGCATTCTCGCTGTTTCACATGTGATAACGATTAGCTAGACGAAATCACTCATCAACTATCTTGAATGTCATTTGCTGTGTGACGGTGTTCGACTTGGGATCGTTGTCACGAGCGCCATGGATCTTGTTGATTAAGTACGCTGGCTTAAAGGCCTGACCTATCCTGCAATGCCAACAGAAACGATTAAAGGAATGACCCCTTCTGGAAGCGGCCCCCAAAGTCCTTGGCCTTGCCCAGCAGCTCCCGGCGTTGCGTGCTGTTTATCCTGCCCCCCAGCGCCATGTCCTTCTCGCGATCAAAGGCTCGCGCGCTTGGGTCATCCTCTTCCTCATCGTCCTTCCGTCTCCCGCCCTCCTTGCGCGCCGTGGCGTGTGTCTCGTACAGGCTCTTCCCCCTGACAGCCTCGAGATTCTCCGCCGTCCGCCTCGCGCGCTCCTGCTCCCTGCTCGGACGCGCCGCCGCACCAGCGGCGGATGCGCCCTGTCTCTCGAGCTCCGACCCCGCCGGCGCGGCGCGCCCGAGCACGGCGTCCTCGAGGCGCTTGCGCTTCTGCTCCGGCGTCTCGGTCCAGATGCTGCTGATCTCGGCGGGACCGCCCGCCGGCGCCGCGGCGTGCGGCTTGTTGGACGCGAAGCGCCGGTTCTTGAGCTTGGAGGGGTCGCGCTCGCTGTAGCCCGCCGCGGCGGGCGGCGGGGCGAGCATCCAGTCGTCGCGCTGGGGCGCCGCTGGGGCGGCGGCGGGTTCGAGGGCCGCGAGGGTCCCGGCGCGGGACTGCGCGGCCAAGTGGGCTTGTGCTGCTTTTGAACCTGGCAGGGCGGGTGCGTAGTCGTCTTCT